ATCATGTCAATGACGGGAAGATCGTCCAAGAACTCGGCGTTGAGATCCTAGACCTTCTTCAAGGCATGTTCATGGCTCATCTAATCCAGCAGCAATGCAGCAAATCCCTTAAGGAATTTCCAACCTTTATCCCTGTCCTAAGTTTTTGAGCCTTTTGCTTGGCAAGTGCGACAAAACATTCTGGAAATCGAGCAAATTCTGCAACCAAAGCTCTAGCCACAAGGAACCTTGAAAAGAAAACACGCACAGCCTCGTTGTTAGGAAGTGTTCTCATTGCTTCCTTGGACAGTTGACAATTTAGGCTTGGTGAGCACAGTATGGCAAGGATTCCTCATAAAAGGAGGGAGAATATGGTACAGAAGGTAGGTTATATTTTTGGGTTCTATTTTCTCCTCTCTCCTCTTCCGATTTCTCTCTTTTCCTCCTGTATTTCTCTTCCATGGAATATATTAGTGATTCCTGCCAGGAGATCTGGGCAGATCTCAACAGTGGTATCGGAGCAACACTACCGATCGTATTGGGTGTACCAGGCAAGGGTTTGGCATCATGGCGAAGGATAGGGCTAATGGAGGCAATCCTAAAAGCATATGTCATTTTCAGCTAGTTAATCAGACATATTGGCAGTGTGACCAACTTAGAGTCAGTTATCCCTTTGTTATCTCTCGTATGGGTGCTAGGGTTTCTTTGCGAATGGCTTCTCTAGCATCTTTGGCAAAATTTGTAAACATGAGGCCAAGAAAGAAGCAAATTGAGGCCACCACACTAATGGACGAGGAGCTAGAATGAGTTTCCAATCCAGATCAGGTGCATGACCAAGAAGGGGAAAGGGAAGAGCAAGGATTGATAATCCAGCAATTGGAATCAACCATGCAAGCACTGATTGAGCAGAATCTTCTTCACCAGCAGCAAGTCACAGCTATAATCCAGGACATGCAAGTTTCGGTCCAGTTGTTGCCTCTTTCTAGAGCATCATGTGAGGCCATGGTATGAGGAATTACGATGAAGATGGAAGTTCTCTCTCCCCATCACGACAGTATCTCTGGCAGTTCCCCAATAGCCTCTTGTGCGAAGAAGTAACCTAGAGTTCCTTGAGCCGAGATTCCAAGGTCTGCTGCTTCTCCACTAAAAGACGCATTTCTGCTATGCTCTCATATTGTTGATCTGCTAAGATCCAAGGGTGGTGAGTCCAATCCTACAACTATCCTTCTCATCCAGGAGTCACGGATTGTTGGGGAGAACACCATTCTCTTCATCAGCAGCGAAATGGGATAAGGACAAATCTCAATTGCCAACTTATGGAGGCAAGAACGATTGACAGAAGCTTTTGGAGTGGATTTATTGCCATGAGAGAAACTTTGTGATGCGTGAACCTCGGGAGGTGGAGAAGGTACCCTTGGTGGCCAATTATCTCACAGATTTGGCTTCTGAGTGGTATAGCAGCCTAGAGCGGGCCAGAGTGTTTCCGGATTGGGAAACATTCAAGACCATGCTTACTGAGGAATTTCTGCTCTCCTCAGTCTAGGACCTTCCATTCAACAAACTTTATGATCTACGGTACCACCCACGAACACAGACTTTACAGGCTTTTAACCGAGAATGGCTACAAGTTTGGCGTGGATGATATTCCTGAATCAGCCCTGGTTCAATGCTATGTAGCTGCTTTACCCACATCAATGGGAGCTGATGTAGATCAAATGTCCCCTACGTCCATCTGTCAAGCCATGCAACTGGCTTTGAACGCAGATCTCAAATACAAGGAGTGGGAGTCAACAAGTAAACCACGTTTTGATTGGCCTCGTTTGCAACCTCGGAGCATGGCAGAAATCAGCAAGTCATTAAGCAATGGATTATCATCAACTGCAGGGAAACAAGTGCCATTTTCATCCATGTTGCTTCCCCTACAAGAGCGGCTCAAACAATTGGAAGACACGAAGTTGGGCAAGTGTTTTGATTGCGGAGCAAAAATGGGAACGGGGACATAGACAGGTTTGTAAGGCTCGAACAGGTCAGCAACCAAGGGGCAGGTTGACAAGTATTTAGTTCCAACAAAACGGCGATGGAGATCTCATTCCTGTGGCTTTTGAGGACTTGGACTTAGAACAAGAGATTTTTGTTTGGGAGGGTGAAGTGTCATCTCAAGTTCCAGGAGAAGAAGCCACGTTAGGAGCCACCATTTCACTGCCATCCTCTTTGGGGAAGACAGGACCACAGTGCATTCGGGTAACAGGAACAGTTTTAGGTCGTCAAGCATTTGTGTTGGTAGAATTGGGAGCTTCACATTCCTTTGTGAACGCTTGTTCACTGACCAAACTTCGCTTGACAACCAAACCAGCTCCAATTCCATTGGATGTGGAGATTGCCAATAGGGGAGTTATCCGAGTGAATCAGATGGTATCTTGTCACTTGGTGGTGAACAACTTCATGCTGGTGGAGCACTTTTATGTCATGGACATGGGGCCCATTGACTTCGTTTTGGGAGTTCAGACTCTTGAACGTTTTGGTGACATCACCATAAACTTTGCTACTCAACGATTAGCCTTCACCTTTGAGGGACAACACGTTGAATGGCTAGGGGTGCCACCAAAGCAAACAGATTCAGCACAGAACTGCATCCCAGTGCTGGAAACTTTTATGAGGTGGTAATGAGTGCTTGATCTATCATAGACACGAAGGGTTGCTGGAGACAGTAGAGAGCTTTTTGGAAGGAGCCCGACTTTCCTTTCTTTTGTACCTTCAAGAAGAAAAGATAGCTGAGTTGCATCTTTCGGACCTGGGTGTGAAGAAAGCAGAACAACACTGCGAAGAAAGCAGTAGGGGTCCAGGTGGGCAGCTAGAGACGGGTGTGAAGAAAGTAGGACAACACTGTGAAGAAAGCAGTGGGTTTCATGCTCAAGCTTTAAGTCCAGGTGTGAAGAAAGTAGGACAACACTGTGAAGAAAGCAGTGGGTTTCATGCTCAAGCTTTAAGTCCAAGTGTGAAGAAAGCAGCAGGGACTTGAATAAGCTCAAGACTGCACTTGAAGAAAGTAGCAAAGAAAGTGGTAGTGCAATGAATTTGGTTGCTAGTGACAGGCAACTCGATTCCAGTCTTTGTGGGAAGGGGGAAGAGTTCTCATCAGTTGAGGTGGAGGAGGCAATGACAGACATAAATTTTTCCTCCATGCATGCAAATATCAAGGTAGTGGCGATCCAGCATGCCCGTGTTTTCACTTGAAAGATTAGTAATCGTTTTAGTGAAGTCACCAGGATCACACATCGGATTGAGTTAGAACCACACTCCATCACAGTTAACTTTCCGATAATTCATCTAAGTAGGGAGGAATGAGCCATCGTTGATACCATGGTGGAGGAATTACAACAGGAAGGGTTGGTGGAGGAAAGCAATAGTCTGTTTGTATCTCCCATGCTTCTCGTTCTTAAGAAGGATGGTTCATGGAGATTAGTGGTGGATTACAGGGCCCTTAATAGGATAACTGTCAAAAATAAGTTCTCTATTCCCAGGGTAGATGAGCTTCTGGATGAGCTTGGCAGCACCAAGTTCTTTTCCAAGATTGACCTTCGTTCTGGTTACTATCATATTGCCATGCAGGATGAGGACAAGGCCAAGACAGCATTCAGGACTCACCAAGGATTGTTTCAATTCAGAGTAATGCCTTTTGGCCCGCCTGCTACGTTTCAAAGTCTCATGAACAAGCTCTTGGCTAAGTATTTCTTCCAGTTCATTGTAGCTGTTTTTAATGACATACTAATCTATAGTTAGGACTGGACAGAACACTTGCACCACTTGGAAGTGATTTTATCCATTTTGGAGAACAATGCTTTGGTTGCAAAGTTATCCAAGTGTTCTTTTGGACTAAAGACCATTCAGTACCTTAGATTTTGTGTAGGACATTGGCAAGGTATGGGTTGATCCATCACAATTATAAGTTGTTGCAAATTGGCCACTTCCCAAATCTTTGAAGCAACTATGAGCTTTTTATGGCTTTGTAAACTATTTACATTGCTTGCCTCTATTGCGGCTCTGCTCAGCAATATTTTGCGCTCTTCTACTTTTCAATGGTCAGATGTAGCCCAAGAATCATTTGAGTTGCTGAAGCAACAACTTCTGGGTGCACTGTTACTTTTGCTTCCAGATTTCTCGCAACTTTTCATTGTTGATACTGATGCATCAGATGCATGAATTGGAGCAGTTCTCTGCCAAGGAGAGGAATTGGTGGCCTTTGATAGTTGTCGCTTCTCTGTTCAGAAGTTCAGGTTACTAGTGTATGAACAGGAAATGCTAGCAGTTATTCATGCAATTGGTCGCTACCACCATTATCTGTTGCCTCGACAGTTTATGCTCCAAACAAACCATCACAGCCTCAAATTTATTTTGGAGCAACAACATTTGTCCAAGAAATAGCAGTGCTGGGTGGAGCAACTGCAAGCATTGGATTTCACTACAGGGAAAAGCACATCCTTCCTGATGTGTTAGGGTTTAGGTTCATGATGATTTGAACGTACTGAAGCATCAACATTGTCTAGTATTTCCAGACAGGAAGCAGTGTATGTTGATAAGATTCGCGAAGGCTACTCACTGGATCCGACGCTTTCGGGTATCTGGCAACAGTTTTGTGATAATCCTGACCATACGCATGACAAGTTCTCAATTCAAGCCACAACTTATGCAAGGAGATCTGTCATGCAAGCATTTTGGCAAGACATCCATATTAAGTGTGTGTGTATATATATATCATAAATATATAAATATCATTGTTAATGTTAAAATAAAGACAAAGGGCTTGCTATCCTAGAGATTTTTGGTGCAACAAACGCAGACAAATTGCTCTGAAACCCCAGCAATCTGGAAACTAGAAACATTAAACCAGCCAATTGCCATATAGTAGAATCACTCTAAAGTATGGTTTTTGTCAGGCGTGGCTCAAATAGCACTCTTGGAAAGCTTAAATCCAAATGCCAATTATACATACTGTACAGCGTCCACTTAAGGCTCAACTAAAACAATCTAACCTTCTTGAGCTTTAAAGCAAAATTCATCAACACAATTCTTTGATGACTTCGCTCATTCTCTCTCTTCTAACCAACGCAGCCCTTGAGCTTCATCTTGAGAAGCTCGGGAAGCTCCCTCTCAAACTCTCCAACAAACTGGTCCACGACATCACGACAGAACCCGCTCACAATCATTGCTGCTGCTACGTCCTCGCTGATGCCTCGCTGCCTGAAGTAGAACAGCTGCTCGTCGCTCACCTTGGACGTGCTCGCCTCGTGCTCGATCCGGGAGCTCGGATTCCGTCCCTGATGATCCAAAAGTTCCATACAAACTCGTGAAACCTGTAAACGTGCAATGGGGCTCATATACCTGGATGACTGGAAAGGTGCTCGCAGTAGACTTGTTTCCAATGAGCAGCGAGTCGCACTGCGAGAAGTTCCTGGCTCCAGCTGCCGAGGGCTGGATCTGCACGAGCCCCCGGTAGCAATTCGTGGAGTTTCCAGCCGAGACTCCCTTGCTCACGATGAAGCTCTTGGTGTTCTTCCCAAGATGGATCATCTTGCTGCCCGTGTCGGCCTGCTGCTGGTTTTGTGTCAATGCCACCGAGTGAAACTTCCCCACGGAGCCATCGCCTCGCAGCACAACGCTAGGATACTTCCAAGTGATCGCGGAGCCAGTCTCAACTTGCGACCACGATATCTCCGACTTCTCTCCGTCACAAAGTCCCCTCTTGGTCACGAAGTTGTAAATCCCACCGCGTCCCTGGAGCAACACCTCACGATCAAACCAAGGAGGTAACGTCAAACCCGAAGGAGAGAACCTGCTGATCACCGGAGTACCAGTTTTGCACCGTGTAGTAGTCGATCTTTGCGTTCCTCGCGCAGTAGAGCTCCACGACCGCGGCATGGAGCTGGTTTGTGTCGTGAGCCGTGGCCGTGCAGCCCTCGAGGTACGTCAGGTGACCACCCTCCTCGACCACGATCAAAGTTCGCTCGAATTGCCCAGTCTCTGGCGCGTTGATCCGGAACTGCGTGGAAAGAGGGATGCTCACTCCTCCCCCGGCCTTCACGTAGCAAAATGATCCATCGCTAAACACCGCCGAGTTGAGAGCCGCGTAGAAGTTGTCCGAGGCCGGAACCACGCGGCCGAGGTTGTCCCGGACGACCTCCGGGAACTCGCGCACGGCCTGGGAGAGCGAGCGGAAGAAGACACCGCCGTCCTCGAGCTCCCGGTGGTGGGTCAACGCCACGGACGTGCTGTCAAAGACGGCGTCAACGGCCATTGACCTGGGCTTAGACCCAGGCGTTGACTCGGGTGGCGGCCCCAGGTCAACGCCCAGGCGCTGGTATGCGTCGACGATGGCGGCGTGCTCCGAGGGCTTGGGCTCCGAGTAGTAGCTCATGTCCTGGAAGTCAACGGGCGGGTGGCGAAGCTCGGACCACGAGGGCGGTGCCATCTTTTGCCACTTGTGGAAGGCGTCCATCCGGAAGTCGAGCATCCATGGCGGCTCCTGGCGCTTGCTGGAGATGAGGCGGATCGTCTCCTCGGACAGCCCCTTGGGGATTGATACGGACTCCACCTTGGAAGAGAAGCCCCATTTCCTGCAAGCACACCAGCAAGTTCTTTTCCTTCCAACAGAGATTTGATTTGAGTGTGCTCTTACCCGTAGTCACAGTTTAGAAAGCGATCAATGGTGGTAGCGTCTGTTCCCACCGTCGCCATCGGGGCGTCGCCGATCACACCTCTTCTCCACGCCCTAGACTTGAGTAGCCCTAAAAATGTATATTATTTTGCGAAAGTAATTATATAAAGCTACAGATGTAAAACATATTTACTTTGATTTTAAAAACGTTTATAATAGCATATGCTAAAATATCCTAAAATATAATGGAATATTCAGTTTACTTAATTTGTAAAGATATCGAGAATATACGTAATATTACGCGATAGTTACATGGAATTCTAACCATCTGGTAAGTGTCCACATGGCATTTCAAGTCTTTCCAAAGTGAAATATTCAAGGGTAACTAACCGGTTCAAACGCAAGTAAAAATGTACATATACCGTGTTGTATTACGCCTTGAATGATAGCAAGTCAGTGCAATGAAACTAAACCAGCTGGAAAACCTTTTACTTTGGAGGAAGATTTCTTTCGTGCCATCTCCTCTCCTCTTTTCTTGCGTCTTGATCCTTTCTCTAGCTCGTGAAAATGCTCTCCCAGTCGGCATTGCTCTTGCCAGGCTCGAGATCGCAGCAGATAGCAAGGATTGCTTCTCGCCCATACCGCTTTCGCGCCCAGCAATCGTTCCCCGGCAATCCAAAAGTCTCAAATCCCATGGATGGTTGGCTGAGGAGCAACGAAGCGCGATCCAAGAACGAAGGATGCGTCGCAGCGGTCACGGGCCACAAAGACGCTGGAGTGCCCGTGGCGGAGGCGTTGATGAGCGCAGCAAGAAGCTTGGAATCCGGGGCCGCTGTGGTGGAATTGGCGTCATCGGGCAAGCTGGTGCTTCTTCCCAATGCTTTCCACCTCGAGTTCCTGGACGACTGCTTCTTGCCCGGCCATTCTTCGATCGGCTTCGCCCAGCATTCAAAGATCCAAGCTCTTTCAAGATCCTGGCGGCAGATCCTGGGCATGCATGCGCCTTCTGTGGATTCCTCGTCGGCATGGAGCTCGACGTCCCGATCAATGGCCTCGAGGGCGGCGACGGCGACACTGCATCCGATTTTCTCAAGGTGGTGGATATTTGCAGGCGGATGGTCGGGCCTGTCGCAGCTATCTGGATCGTTCGAGGAAAGATGTATGAGTTTTCGGATCAAGACTGTGGCTACTGGCTCTCTTCCGACGATCAGAGCGTCAAGGCTGGTGCTTCCGGCCTCAATGCAGCAGTGGTGATTCGACAGGTCATGCCTGGCGAGCTGGTTTGCATCGACGGCAACGGCACCACGTCCAGAGTCCAATTCAACGCCGGCGAACGATCACTGGAATGTGGCATCGAGGTCTTCATCCAATCGTCATGGAACTACCGGATCCATCGTCTCCGGAGAGCTCTCTGCAAGCGCCTGGCACAGCTTCCGTTACCAGAGGTTTGGATCAGGGCGATGGTCATAGCCGACGGACGCGAGAATGATCGCTTGGCCGAGGAATTCGCGAAGGCTAAAGGGTTCTCGTATTCCAGAATTGGCCACCATAGCTTTGGAGAGCTTGTGCGAGGTAACCGAGTACTCGTCGTCGGCTCGTCATACCAGAGGGCTCTTGAGAGTGTCACACGTCTCAAGGGAGGAGAGTATGGGCCGGGTGTCATCCATGTCCTACTTTTCTCTCCAGTGGTGACCATGGATTGCTGCTACAGCAAGCTGGCGACCATGGTTTCGCAGCAGGAAGTGGACGTGAAATGGCTTCCGGTGGAGGATTTCTACGACGTCGTGGCCCAGGAAACTGGGAAAACTCCGTGCTGTGCTTGCTTGAGAAACGCCTGAGAGTTTGTAACTTTGAACCATCTGAAATAACATGTTCTTTTTCGTTTCCTCCCTGGTCAACGAGTCAACGACCATGCCGGGCTTTGACCCGGGCGCGGACCGAGGTCAACGCCCAGCCGGTGACTGCTCGGACAGCCCTTCGGACTCTCTCTCGAATATCCCATGATTATAACTCTTACGCATTGACTTCAAAAGAAACGAAACCTTAGGGGATCTTTGTAAGAAACCAGAGTGAAAAAACAAAGTTAGATTGGCGAGTCAGTAACTAACAAGATCATCAATGAACAAACGCTAATCTTGCGAGGTGCTCCACGCACGAGTAGTACTCGAGCTTCCTGATCTTCGAGGCCCAAAACGATCCAGGCGTGGAAGAGAAAGGGCTGGATCGTTTCTTCTTGTTGGCTCGTCTGCTGCTGGATTCGTGCTGCTGCTGCTGCTGCCGCTGCTGCTCTCGATTCTCCTCCTGCTCTTCGCTCTCGATCCCTTCAGGGATCGTTTGCAAGGTGGGATTTAGCCTCTTCTGGCGGCGGCGGAGATAGGCGCGCTGCATTTGCTCCTCCTCGCTGATGAGCATCCCATTCCGGACGAGATCTCGCTGGAAGAGCCCGCCCCTTGGCCGGCACCAGCGACCCATTGCCCTAATTCGCCCAAATTCCTAGATTGCCCTCACCGATCGATCCCAATCGGCCAAATCGTTAGCTCCCATCGTTTAGCTCCTATCGCTGGCCGGCTTACCTCATCTCCATCCTGGAAGACGTGGATGGGGGCCACGTGTCGTGGATCCCACCAATCGTGACGTGGCTATTTTCTTACTCTTTAAATCGTGACGTGGACGTATGACGTGTCATTGATGTTGACGTTGTACTGCTCAAATGATTTTCCCGCGCTAGGGTTCTTCCGATCGATGGAAGTGATTGAGGTGGAGAACGCCTGGCCGGACGTGGACGGATTCCTCACGCGCATTGTGATGGAGACGAGCGCTAGGTCGAGCGTCAAGCCGCCGCTCCCGCTCAGGCCGGCGCTGTGCGGGGATATGGATCCGGATCGATCGCTGCTCTCTCTCGGCGGCAGCGATTTTAGCGGTGGTAGCAGCTCGATCTCGCGGAAATCCGTGTCGGCAGCGTCTTCGGCGTCCAAGAAGCTCTGCGTCGAGGTGCCATGGCGATATTTCGAGGTCATGTACAGCGTCAAGAAGAAAAACTCCAGGAAGCCAGGGCCGCGATCCGATGGCGTTCTTGCGGTCCAGGGATCGAGCTACAATCTGCTCGACAAGGACGGCAAGTCGATCAGCAAAAGAAAGATTTCGGGAAAAGAAATCAAAGAGAATTCTTCTCTCGAGGTCAGGAGTTCTTTCACTCGATTAAGAAAATGTCATTATCCTGGCGCAGGTTTTCAACTTTGTGATCGAAGTATTGGACGAGATCCCCGAGGAAGAGTACCTCAGCGGGAAGATCTTCTCAACGAGCAGGCCTACCTTTCCTTCTTCCGAAGGATCGGACATTACTGTCGAGTCCGCTCGGAATCCTGGAAGGTAAATGATTCTAATCATCTTCGATCGTGATTGAATTTATGTGGTCAGAGAAAGGCTGTCTAGGCCAATGCAGATTCTGGAGGTAAATTACGTAAATTTCCACCACAGCCAGTAACTAACGATGGTTGAGCACAGAAAGACCAGCTTGTTCTCAACATGGCAGAAGTTGCAAATGGCGCTGCTCCAGTCGTTGTTGATCCAGTAAGTTGATATTTACTGTCGCTTGTATTTTCTAAGGTATTTTTTCTTTCAGTACATCGCTTCTAAACTTCGACCGCACCAGAGGGAGGGAGTGAAGTTTATGTACGAGTGCGTCATGGGACTGAGATCTCGCACATTTACTGGCTGTCTACTAGCTGACGAAATGGGTGAGATATCTCGAGTTTTATAGGTTAAATACTTAAGTCGCGAGTTTTTGGGCCAGGTCTCGGGAAAACTGTGCAAGTCATTGCACTGATTTGGACGCTGCTTCGTCAGGTAAATTGTTCTTTTCAGTTTTTGTGCTCGGCTTACATTTGGGTTCATATGGCAAGGGTTCTGGAGGAGTTCCCGCTGTAAGGCGAGCAGCAGTTGTTTGCCCGTTGACGCTAACCCGAAATTGGGGAAAAGAGGTGGTTAATAGCTAGAAACGAACAAGCTTAACTGGACAGCATTTCCAGGTGCGTAAGTGGCTGGGCTCGGAAAGGTTGAAAGCAATGGTCGTCGACTGCGCAAGAGAGGTACTTAATACCAGAGAAAACAACTAACTAGATGCTTTCATATTTTAGGCAGCAGAAAAGATAATCGACTTCAAAAACGACAGCTTCTGTCCTCTTTTAATCACGTCGTATGAAATACTAAGGAAGCACAAGGATATTGTTGCCTCGACGAATCTTGAGCTTCTTATCTGCGATGAAGCTCATCGACTGAAAAGCTGGTAATACTATACACTTGTTTAATTCTTTACAGCGAGAACAACCAATGGTTCAGCAAGGGAAACAAAACGATTGCGTCACTGGCTTCGTTGAACTGCAACAAGAGGATTTTACTCGTAAGATTTTGTAGCCTTCACGGCTTTCTAACGCCTGGCTCTGACTGGCAGACTGGAACACCCGCCCAGAACAACTTAAGCGAGTTTTATGCTTTGCTTGATTTTGCCAATCCAGAGCTATTGGGTTCCTACAACGAGTATAAGAATATCTACGCTTCTCCCATTGAGCAAAGTCGGGATCGCAACGCCAGGTACGTTTTTCAATCTGTGAAGAGGAAATTAATGCTTGTTGTTTGACAGCCACGCTGAGAAAGAATTAGGCTCAGAGAGATCGGAAGAGCTGAAACAAATGACAAGCTTTTGCATCCTTCGAAGGACATCTGAGATAAACAAGGAGCACCTTCCACCGAAATCAGAGTAACCGGTTATTTACCAAAGTTTCTACTGTTTTAGCTTTTTGTTTTGCAGGTACGCCGTGTTTTGCAAACTTCACGATGTTCAGATTAGTCTTTACGAGATATTTGTCAAGTCTCAGGTAAACACTGGCATAGTACTATACTTCTCAGCTGGTCTGTGGCAATGCAGTTCGTACGAACCATGCTAAACTCAGATATTCAACGTGCGCACGTTCTTTCTGCAATTGGAGCGCTGCGTAAACTTTCAAGCCATCCGGGGCTGCTACAGAGTGATATGAAGCACGTTACGAGCGCGGAAATTAAGAATCAACCATTTTTTCATCGCGCCGAAGAATTGCTTGATCTTTCTGATGTCCAAGCATCCTTGAGGTACGACAATTACAGTTAGCCGTGGCCAAGTTGCTACTTGTGCAGAGATGTCGTGAGGCACGATTGGAGCCTATCTGGAAAGTTCGTGTGCTTACAACATCTTCTTTTAGCGACTATACAATGCAACGACAGAATTGTGATCGCTTCCAACTTCACACAAACCTTGGACTTGATAGAGGTTCGAAGGGCTTGCGTTTTTCTGAGTGTTTCTTAATTTTTAAATCTTGCAGGCAATGTGCAATGAACACTCATGGAAGTTCGTTCGACTGGACGGTGGAACCATGATATCGGAAAGACAGTCACTCGTCGAACGGTTCAATCGAAGAATTGGAGAGGCGTCGATCTTCCTCCTGTCCTCCAAAGCTGGTGGAACTGGCCTGAACCTCATTGGGGCAAACAGGCAACAACTATCTGATGTCATCCATCTTCAAGGGAGCTCTTTATAATCTTGTTGTTTGCCTTTCAGGCTCGTTTTAGTCGATCCAGATTGGAATCCAGCAAACGACGCGCAGGTATGAAGACTGATAAGCTGTCCCATCTCACCTTCTCTGGTTCCAGGTGATGAGTCGAATATGGAGAGAAGGCCAGCCGAAACCAGTAAAAATATACAGGCTTCTGTCCACTGGCAGGTACGTCTATGACGTCGAAGTCTCGGCATTAATCGTTGAATTTTCAGCATCGAGGAGAAGATATATCAACGGCAAATCATGAAAAAAGATCTGACGTCTTTCTTTGGTGATCAGTCCACATATCAACCTACCTGTAAAAGAACGAACGACCAGAAGTTTAGCCGGCAGGAACTCAGAGAGCTTTTAAAATTGCCTTCGGTACATTTTTCAGCATTGTTTTCGCAGCAACAAACGTCAAACATTGTTATGCAGGAAACAAAATGCGAGACATATGATCTACTGTGCCGGCTCAACACGCAACTGGAGGACAAATGGAAAGACTCGTCAGGAATGCTGGATGACCACGTCTTACAGAGCGCGGTCGAATCGGGAGTGACTACGTTCGTGTCAGCTGACTCGCCTCAAACGCAACAAAGCAGCGGAGGTCTCGAAAGGTACATAACTTACAATAGACTTTTCTTAGCTTTTACTTGACTGGGGCATCGCAGAGACACAGGCTTGGATTGTGGAGCATGTTAATAGAAAAGTTCGATCGATCAAACTTCACTGCGCCTCCATTAACCAGCATCGCAAGAGAATGAAGATTTCACCTTATCAGGTTAGCTCGAAAAGGAAAGAGAGTTCCTCTCGATAACGTTGTTCTGGCAGGAAAAAAGTTAGCTACCATCTCTCTTTAAAACGGGAACCAAAAGCGGCATTGTTCTCAACAAACCAACCGATTGGCGGTTCCATCATCTTGACTTTCAGAGCTAGTTCTAAATAACGCGAAACTTTCTCAGCAACTCAGGGACAACAACTAGGGGACCTGACAACCAAGCAAGGCAAATTTCCCCACCCTTGATATCGATCTTCCAACTTGGGGACTGGGCAACCACGACAGCGAGAGGTATGTAGATTTTATGCTTTCTCTCTTGCTCACGTTACGCTTGACTGGGACTTCCACATTCAGTAAAAGGTAGTGGAGCAAAATTGCGGGCGGTGCTGCTGCTAGTGTTGGTACGTCAATGCTTTTTCACAAGTACTCCACCTTAGCTTGGGAAGCGGTAAGCAAATCTTTATATGATATTAGTTGCTAGTGTTGCCTCCATAATCTCTATTGATTGATGGCTTTGCTTGTCCACCAGGATTAATAAGTGCTTTGCTTTGGTGCTCTAGTCTCTCATTTCGAAGATCCAAAAACAAAAAAACGTTGGTGGAGTGGACGATGGATCGATGGGCGATAGATTTCTTCGATTAATCAAACTTACGAGCGCACACGGAGAAAGAATTGCGAGACGGCGACGTTTGCGTTGTAGGAAAGGTCAACATACGAATTGCAATCCCGAGTTGATTAAAATCGAAATCAATGCAATCGATACCGGCACCCGATTCGACGGCCGCGATGCGCGCATGCGGCCATCGTAACAAACGGGCATCGGACGGCGGGACGGCCCCGACACGTGGCATGCATTCAGCCACGTGGATGATCGGACGGCCGCTGGCTGTTGGACGCCGGAATGGCCAGGCGATTCGAGCGCGCACCATGACAAATGCAAAGAAGACGGGGGAGAGGAGCAGGATGGCGATGGCTATGGCGGAGATCGAGAGGCATCTCCCTTGTCGCCGCCTCCTCGTGTAGCTAGCTGCGCTCCAGTCGCGATCGATTTGGCGGTGGCGAAAGGAAAGGGCTGGTGTGGATTTGCCCGAGCCGGAGCTAGGGTTTGAGGCGTTCGTCGCGGAGGTGAGTTCTTGGCGCTCTAGGCGCTGGGGGTACTGATCGAATTTCGGCAGGGGAAGCTCCTGGCTGATCGAATTACTCGAGTAGATACTAGATCGTAGCTGATATTTCGGAGAATCGCGGCTTATGGATGAGGAGGAAAAAGGGTATCTGGGCGATGGTTGAAAGGATCATCATCTTCAGCTGCTGCCGCGGTGGCTAGGGATTCAACCGTCGATCGGGGGTGTGGCAGCCATGTCCGGGAAGAAATCCTCGACGCTGACGCCGCTGTGGAGCGTGATCCAAGACATCAAAGGGATTGGAAGCATCTCTAGGAGGAGTTTTGAGGTGAAGCTGCCGACGTATAGTCGATCGAGGTCTCACAGCGCCGCGCAAGATGCCGCTGGCCGGCATCAATTTGGGGAGAGTGGCCAGCAGAGCCGCTGGGCCAACATGCCACCCGAGCTCCTCCGCGACGTGATCCAAAGGGTGGAAGCCAGCGACAAAATGTGGCCGTCGCGGAAGAGCGTCGTCGCCTGCGCGGCCGTGTGTAGGAACTGGAGAAAAATCACCAAGGAGATCGTGCAAACTTTGGAGCAGTGTGGAAGATTGACGTTCCCAGTTTCGCTCAAACAAGTAAGTTCTTTCTCTCTTTTTTCATTTGAGTCCTTGATCGTCCGGAAGTTCTTTCTCCTTTCTTCATTTGAGTCCTTGATCGTTCAGAACTTTCTCTTTCTTCTTTTTTTAATTGGAGTCCTCGATCCTCCAAAAGTTCTTTTTCTTTCTTTTTTTTTCCCATTTGAGTCGTCGATCGTCCAGGAGTTCTTTCTCTTTCTTCTTTTTTTCAATTTGAGTCCTCGATCCTCCAGACTAGTACTAGAAGTCAGGAGATCAGATGCTTCGCTTGTCACGCCCTTTCAAGTTTTCTGGACCCTTCCCAAAGTTTTTGTTTTCTTCTCGAATTAATCTCTCTCTGTTCCTTTGTTTTCTTTTTGTTCGTTCTGAACTTTGTTTGTGCTTGCAGCCTGGGCCGCGAGACGCTACCGTGCAATGCTACCTTAAACGCGACAGGACAACTTCGACGTATTATCTCTATCTGGGTATTACTCCGAGTAAGCCATCCAAAAGTCTCGGCCACACTGTTTACGTTTCCTCTGAAACAGATGTGCTAGAAAACGGGAAGTTCCTGCTAGCGGCTCGAAAGTTTCGGCGAGCCAGTGGAACGGACTACATCATCTCCACTGATACGGACGACTTCTCTCGTGGGAGCAACACCTACGTTGGAAAGTTGCGGTACGTTTCTTCCTTAAAAACTAGACACTGAAAAGCAGCCTGCGAATCCCCGCTTTTTGCAGATCGAACTTCATGGGCACGAAGTTCACTTTATACGACAGCAACCCTCCGCACGACGGTGCTGTGGCCTCCACAAACAGAGCAGGCCGGAGGATCCTATCCAAGCAAGTCTCTCCAAGAGTTCCAGCCGGGAGCTACAACATCGCCCACATCGCGTACGAGCTCAACGTACTGGGGACAAGGGGCCCCCGGCGCATGGAGTGCACCATTCACTCCATCCCGGCGTCGGCCATGGAGCCCGGGGGATGCGCGCCGACGCCGCTGGAGAGCGCGACTTCCATGGACGAGGCCTCCATGCTCCCGCCGCTGCTTCTCCCGGTGGGGGCCAAGTCCTCCAAGGTGGCGGCGCTGGATGGATTGGAGGGGCTGGAAGTGGCGAGCAAAGGCAAGCCGCTGGTGCTCAAGAACAAGCCGCCGCGATGGCACGACCAGCTCCAGTGCTGGTGTCTAAACTTCCGCGGGCGAGTGACGGTGGCATCGGTGAAGAACTTCCAGCTGGTGGCGGCCACGGAGATCGGGCAGCCGCCGCAGCCGAGCGATCCGGACAACGTCATACTCCAGTTTGGGAAGATCGGCAAGGACACATTCACCATGGATTATAGGTACCCTCTCTCGGCATTCCAGGCATTTGCGATCAGCCTCAGCAGTTTTGATACTAAGGACAGCTTACACTGTACTTATGCCTTGATGTTCTGAAGGAATGGAATCCGAGATGGACGGAAGGAGATGAAAGGTGGCAAGGAGAAAAAAGGTGGTGGTACATTTGTTTTGTGTGATTTCTCAAGATTACTTGTACATAAGGTGGATTTCAAAGTCTCTCTGTTGTCATTGTTTAACCAATGTTTACTAAAAGATTGTGTGAGGTCTCCAAATAGCGCACATGGAAACACCGCAATATATGATAAGAGCATAAAAAGTTGGCGGGACTCGGCACCGAACGCACACTTTGATGACACGCCACCAACCTGTTTTTCTTTCTTGCGTTGTTGTAGTATATATATGAGCTTTCATGTGCAAACGTGCCACGCGGCTTGGCTGTCATGTGTCCCGGGAGACTGAATCCACCCTTGTAATGAAAGAGAAACCAATCTTTGGTTATATTAGTGAAAAAGTTTAGAATGAAGTTTTGAAGAACGAATTTGCCTGGTAAGTGTCTAAAGTTAAAGATCGAATCACAATCCCAAGCGCTAGACCCGCTCTCGCTTTAAAGTGAAATCCAAATTTTTCCATTGACATCCATTTGGTCCGATGCCTCCAGCTGGTCGCCAAAAGACCAACTATGGATTGGAAAAATAGGCGTCTAGTGCACGTCCACGACGTACATACATACATACATTGCATTGGGCAGTAGCATTTTGCACGTGATTCCGCTTTTCGCGGGAACACGTTTTCGCCCGCCAATACTCCGTCGCACAAACGGAAACACGTGTGGTAAAAGCGCCGTTTGCGAGACGGAGCTCTGTCAGAGCGACGCATTTGTGTCCCTTGTATATATGCCAGGGCCAAGTCCTCCCACTCGGGAAGAAGAAAGAGGTTTTTTTTTATGCTTTCCTTTGTGTGGAGCACGAAATCTCGGCGGAACCTTTCTTCTTCGTCGGCTTGTAATCAAGTAGACTTCTTCTTCCTCTGAAAGATCTCTAGCTCCATTCGTCGAATCTCTTGGTGGGTTTTGGAGGGATTGGAGCGGAAGGAATGCAGCGAAGTGGCCGTGCGCGGCGATGGTGAGTGTTCGCCCCGGAAGGATAGAACAGCACAAGCAGGTCTCCCCGGACAGGATGATGTTTAAAGTTCCAGCGAATTCGCTGCCGCCGCCGCCGCCGCCGCCAAGTTCTTCCTCCTCGCAAGCTCCAGCGGACATGGCAGGCAAGAGGAAGTGGCAGGAGGCTTTCAAAGGGGAGTCGTGCCCATCGTAAGTGGCTTCTGCTCTTGGATCTCTCTAGAATCTTGGGAAGAAGCTCAAACTTTTGGGGCTTTTGATCGCAGTGTGCCCGCGCCGCCGCACAGATCGCCGCAGCTCACCATCTTCTACGCTGGCGCGGTGAACGTCTACGACAATGTCCCGGAAAACATGGTAAGCTCGAGAGCAAAATGCGGTTTTTCTTCGTAAAGGACGATCTTTGAGTGGAAAAAGATGGTCTTTTCGTCTGGAATGCCTAGATCCTGACAGCGCTCTCGTGTCTCCAGGTGAAAGCGCTCATGACACTCGCGGCGGCCAAGAGCTCCAGGCCCGCGGCGCTGATGAGCCAGATCGAGCTCCAGCGGAGTTGTAGCAGCAACAAGACGGGATTTGGATTCCAGGCAAACCAATCCAGCTGCAATGGTGGCGGCAGCGCCCGCGCGGGCGTGAAATCGAGCAGCAACGTCGCCAGTAGCAGCACCTCGGGCTCCTTCTCGTTCCCGGTTCTAGAGACCACGAGCACGTCGCTCAGCTTGAATAGCTCGTACAAGGCCGCGAGCGAGGAGAGATCTAGCGTGCCAGCTCCAGCTCCAGCGGCAGCGCCGGAACAATCCTCCGGAACAGCGGTGCAAGCATCATCTTCGCCACCTTCTCCGGCGGCTTCTCCGGATCTGCGGGGCATGGGTCCGAGAACTCGGATGCAAATGCTCCCAGCTGGTAAGATCATAGCCTAGTTCTTGTTTGATTGTCAAGTTGACGCTTTTACTCCTTCCAGGACTTCCGCAGGCCAGGAGAGCATCGATCCAGCGCTTCCTCCAGAAACGAAAGCAGAAGTGAGTGAGTTTTCTCATTCCCTCTCTCGCGTTTCTCCCGTGTACAAAAGATGAGAGAGCTTTCTCCCGTTTGCTCGTCGGTCATATTTCTTCATGTGTGTGAAACCGGAACGATTTTGTACAGATCAGTCCTTGGAGCTCCAGTGTCCAGTCACTGACGAGCGATCCACACGTTTTTCAACACCACCTCCGAACTTTTCCATTAGGAAAAACAGACTTTTCCCCGAGAAAAAACCAATTTTTTTTTTTAATTTTTGGGTGTAGACCAATCTTGTCTAGCCGCAACTTTGTGCAATCTGGCCCCCCCAGTCATGTGTATTCACGTGAATTATTTCGATCCAATGCTTCAAACTTTGCAACATGTTCATCCTCCCAGCTTTATTTTGTTTGGAGTTTTTCTGTGATGCTGATGTAGGGGCACTGTTTTTGTGAATAGGCAGGTGAACAACAACGGCGAAGACGACGACGAAGACGCGGCGGCAACGGCGGAGATGAAGCCCACATCGCCACCGCCCGTGGGGCCGCCCACGTCCGCATCAACGGCCCACATTGCCGCACAAGTTCCACATTTCCTAAAGAAAAGATAGTACGTTCACGCTAGTGCCACGTCGCTATTAACCCTAATTTCTAAGTCCTGTCCACCTGTAAGAAAAAAGTACACACACACACACACACACACAGAGGGTTCTAGGGCTTAGCTAGGGTTTTCCTCGGCGCGAGCGATGGCGGCGTGCGCTCCTACTACGATCGGGCAGCTATCTTCCAGGCTCGTGTCGCGCGCTCCAGCGCCCGCGCCATTCCCCGGCTACATTCTTCTCAGGCCAGTGGTTTTCAGATCGCGAGTCGCGAGAGCGGCAGCGGTGCGCGCGGCGATCGAGCATTTCGACGATGCCGGGGTTGGATTGCAGGGATCGGTGTGCTTTGCTGCTCCGGAGGGCCTGGAGAGCCCCCCCGCCTCCTCACAGGAGGATCTCTCGTCGTGCCCGGCGAGAGGGAGCGTGGGTGTCGTCGAGGCGATGACCGGCAAGACGATCGACCTCAACTCCGGGGAGGTCATCGATGCGGGGATTGGCGGCGACGGGGATATTGGGCAGCGCGGCGGCGGCGATGGCAGGGGAGGTGGCGGCGGAGGGGATGATTCCAGCGATGGAATGGCGAAGAAGCAATCGGGGGCTCTCTCGATGTCACAGAAGCTGACATTGGTCTACGCAGCTCTCGTGGGAGGTAAAGATTTTTCTTTTCTGCAATCTCGTCGCTGGAATCGATCGATCAATCGTGGTTTCTCTCTTGCAGTTGGAGGATTGATAGGATTTCTCAAGACCGGCAGCGCGAAATCCCTCTTCTCCGGAGGGATCTCTGCGCTGACACTCCTCACTGTCTACTCACAGCTCCCTGTCAACCCGGTTGGCGCTTCTTCTCTCGGTGTTGGTAAGCTCCACATCTAAGTTTTCCATGGTTTTCTCTAAGTTCTTTCGATTCTTCGCAGGTATATCGCTGCTGCTCCTGTTCGCCATGGGCTCGAGATTCAGAAACTCGGGGAAGTTCTTCCCCGCGGGATTGGTATCGATCGTCTCGTTGATAATGTCCGGCGGATATGTTCATGGAATTCTACGTTCCAAGCACTGAAGATTAAAAAGAGCTCTCCCCTGTTTCTAGGGTTAGGCTTTCCCCTGTTTTTAGGGTTAGGGTTTTGCGATGAGCCTCTCCTGAGTTTAGGGCTCATGGCAGTGGCATTGGTGTGTTCTTGGCCGGGGCCGAGGAGCACGAAGGATCACGACGACTACATTCCAATCGAGACGCTCGCGGGTCTCTTGCGGCGATGCATCGGCGACGCGGATCTCGCGCAGGGCAGGCAATTGCACCGGCAGATCGTCAAGCAGGGGCTGGCGCGCAACGATTTGCTCGGGAACTACCTCGTCCAGATGTACTCCAAGTGCCGCAGCCTCGACGACGCCAATGCCGCCTTCTCGGCGCTCAGATCGCGAGGGATCGCGACGTGGAACACGCTCATCGCCGCGCAATCCTCCCCTGCCGCGGTGTTCGATCTCTACACCCGGATGAAGCTCGAGGAGAGGGCGGAGAATCGGCCCAACAGGCTGACGATCATCGCGGTCCTGGGCGCTATCGCTAGCGGCGATCCTTCTTCCTCGTCTTCCTCCCGCGCTCAAGCGAGGATCGTCCACGACGACATCCGCGGCAGCGATCTGGAGCGCGATCTCTTCGTCGCCACCGCGCTGCTGGATGCGTATGGCAAATGCGGCTGCGTGGAGAGCGCGCTGGAGGTGTTCTCGCGGATCCAGGTACCGGATCTCATCTGCTGGAACGCGGCGATCATGGCGTGCGCCGGGAACGACGAGCGCCCGGATCGCGCGCTCCTGCTCGTCCGCCGGATGTGGCTCGAGGGGCTGCTGCCCAACCGCGCCAGCTTCGTGGCGATCCTCAGCTCCTGCGGGGATCACTCGTCCCTGCCGCTGGCACGGTCGATCCACGCCAGAGTCGAGGAATTAGGGTTCTTGGGCGACGTGGTTGTGGCCACCGCGCTCGTCACGATGTATGGGCGGTGTGGCAGCGTCGATGAATCGATTGCGGTGTTTGAGGCGATGGCTGTGAGGAATCACGTCTCGTGGAATGCGATGATCGCAGCATTTGCCCAGTGTGGGCATCGCAGCGCGGCATTTGCGATCTACTGGCGGATGCAGCAAGAGGGATTCCGGCCAAATAAGATCACCTTCGTCACAGCGCTCAAGGCCGCGTGTTCTTCCTCTTCGCAGGATCTTGGAGAGAGCGCGGCGCTCCATGGATGGATCGCCTGCGCTGGACTGGAGGGCGATGTGATGGTGGGCACTGCGCTGGTGACCATGTATGGCTCCACCGGCGCGATCGATCGCGCGAGAGCGGCGTTTGATGCCATCCCCGCCAAGAACATTGTGTCTTGGAACGCGATGCTCACGGCCTATGGCGACAATGGCCGGGCGAGAGAGGCGATGGAGCTCTTCGCGGCCATGAAGAGGCAATCGCTCGCTCCAAACAAGGTGAGCTATCTCGCGGTGCTTGGATGCTGCGAGGATGTGAGCGAGGCGCGATCCATCCACGCCGAGGTTGTGGGGAATGGGCTCTTCGCGCAGGAGTCCTCCATAGCAAACGGGGTGGTGAGGATGTTTGCTCGCTCCGGCAGCCTCGAGGAGGCCATGGCCGCGTTCGATGCGACCGTGGTGAAAGATAGCGTCTCTTGGAACACAAAGGTGGCGGCGCTGAGCGCTCGCGAGGATCTCCACGGCGCGATCACGGCCTTCTACACGATGCAGCACGAAGGATTCAGGCCGGACAAGTTCACGCTGGTGAGTGTGGTGGATGTCTGCGCGGATCTGGGCACGCTGGAGCTTGGGCGATCGATCCAGCAGCAGCTCTCGGCGGCGATCGAGGTCGAGCGCGACGTGGTGGTGGAGAGCGCGGTGATGAACATGGTGGCGAAGTGTGGTTCATCCGTGGACGAGTGCGAGCGATTGTTCGCGCGAATGCCCGACGATAGAAAGGATCTGGTGGCATGGAACACGATGATCGCGGCGTACGCGCAGCACGGCCACGGCCGGAAGGCGCTCAAGCTCTTCCGGATCATGCAGCAGCGATCGTCGGTGAGACCCGACTCGTCAACTTTCGTGAGCGTTCTATCCGGGTGTAGCCACGCCGGGCTGGTCGAGGATGGAATCCACTGCTTCTTCCTGGCCAGGGAAGTGCTCGGGATCGAGCAGCAACCCGTGGAGCACTACGCCTGCCTGGTAGATGTTCTTGGCCGGATGGGCTACCTCCGCGAGGCCGAGGATTTCATCCGCAAGATGCCGCTTCCAGCAGATTCCGTGGTGTGGACGTCGCTGCTGGGTGCTTGCAGCAGCTATGGCGATCTCGAGGGCGGCGAGCGAGCGGCGCGGGCGTTTATCGAGCTGTACCGGAGCGATTCAGTCGGGTACGTGGTGCTGTCCAACATCTACGCGGCTGCTGGGCGATGGGAGGATTCGATCAGAGTGAGGGAGGACATGGCGGAGAGGCGAGTGAAAAAGAGGGCCCCAGGGAAGAGCTCCATCGTCGTCAAGAACAGGGTGCACGAGTTCTTCGCCAGGGATCGCAGCCACCCCCAGAGTGATGAGATCTACGCGGAGCTGGAGAGGTTGAAGGGATTGATCCGGGAGGCTGGGTACGTCCCGGACACGAGGTTGGTTCTTCACGACGTGGAAGAGGAGCAGAAGGAGCAGCTGCTGTGGTATCACAGCGAGAAGCTGGCGATCGCGTTTGGATTGATCAGTGTTCCTCACCGGCATAGCATCCGCGTGATCAAGAACTTGCGGGTTTGCAAGGATTGCCACACCGCGACTAAGTTTATCGCACGGGTGACGCAGAGAGAGATCGCGGTGAGGGATTGCAATCGGTTCCATCACTTTGGCAAGGATGGCGAGTGTTCGTGTGGAGATTACTGGTAATATCATATTATTTGAAAACCAAAAAATTATTTTTTTTTCCTTTTTGTCGCTCTCTGTTCTTTTTCTTTGTCGTTTTTTTTGTTTATTGAGCTCAAATGATCAAGGCTTGCGTGCGAACTATCTCATTCCCAGGATTTCAGGCTACCATTCTCAAGTGATTGGATGAGGAATGTTCTTACAGATAGTCACCAACACCTGAGGAGCATGTCTAGAGCTGGATTCGGGGACGAATATTGCATGGATCCCGACGCCACAATGCTGTCAAAGACGTGTCAATGGCCATGACCAGGGCGTTGACAATGGCCTGAGCTGATGGATTTAGGTTTGGCCGAAGCGCGAGCTTGACAATTCAAGCTTAGATTGGTTGTCCAGTGTGAGAATCCAAGCTACCGTGACGAGCCTTCAAGCACACTGATCCCAGCCAAGGATCTTAACTGGGATGTGCACCAGTCATGTGCAAACCAGGTTGAGGCTGTGGATTCGGGTTCCGGACTGCTGCATGCTGATCCAGACAATAATTACGAGCCTTATCACGAGCTGGAACCGTCTACAGTGGCACCTCAGGGACTGTCCTACACAATATACCGGAGGGGTGCAAAGCCGATGGGATACGAAGAACAACCACGTGAACATGATTGCATAAGCTTAGCAGGAATCCAGATTCTCCGAGAAGGGCCTTGTCCGAGACAATAATCCCATTGCCGCGTCGAAGGAGAGAATTCAATGTATGTGAACCCGCAGAGGAGCAGAACAAGAAGTCAAGATCACAAGGAGGAGGAGGATGACAAGACGGCCATGAATCATGAACGCAAGAAGACAAGAAATAATACTATCCCTAGGAAATCATCAGATTGATGACAAGTGAAATTTTCAAAAGGACTTTTGCCCGCGAACGCTAGCGGTGGCCCTGGCACGCTGGTGTCCGTTTGATTCTTATCCCATGGACGGCCATAAGCCCTGTCTCTCACTTTGTGTGCTTGGTGCCATGGTGTTCGTCGTCGACGCACTCGCGCTCAGGCTCATGGGAAGGTCCAGCGATGTGTTTGAAGATTGGAGCGTGCCCTCGATAGAAAGAAGGGAGGCATCGATTCTCTCCAGCGATGTGTTTCCATCACAGGCACCCTCGCTCAAGGCTCTCGTCAACTCCAAGCGAGAGGCGCCCATCGATCTTCAGGTATGTTCTCTTCTCTCTCTAGGAATGCTTGCTTTAGAGAAACAAGAACTAACAAGTCCGGATGATCTCTCGCTTGATAATCCGAACCTCTACTACTGCCGGCTTCTGGAACACAACTCGAAAGTTTGAAGTTTTGTTGTCTGATTTCCACTCGAAACTAATCACTGGTGTTTCCTCACACCTGTTTGGATCACTATTATCACTACTGCCGTCAAATGGCTATGAGGTAGTCGCAGAGCTCGATGAACTGGATGAAACTTTTCCAACTGATGGTGGTTCCTCCAATGGTGATTCTTCAGGCTTGGCTGCTACCACAGTTAAGGTCTGGTATCAGTTTTTTCTTGCTGCACTGCTTTGTCTATATGGGACTGATGAAAATTTCTTAAACCATGCTGTATCCTCAGATACTTGGGGTTGTGGAGGATAATCATGAGCTACAACTCCCGGCTGCTGAAAGGAGTGAATCGTAGTATCGATCATCCCCCCATGAATCAAAAGGAATACAAGAAATAGGAAAGGAGGAAAGGAGAGAAGGGAACATGAAAAACCTTCCATACTCTGTTAGCCACGTCCCTTATATCCTACGTTCCGTATGATCCAGTCCGTAACACCCTCCCTTACGAAGAACCGACTCTATCCTCAGTGTCTGAAGGGAACACTGGCTGCCACTGAAAAAGTGTGCGCAAAGATTCGAGCTCAGCCTGCGTGATCCAAGTGTCCATTTCAGAACCCGTTCCCTGCCAACGGATGAGAAAGTGAGGGACTGCTCGATGCTCGAAGGATCCGATCTGGAGCCAAGAGCTGCTTATCTTCGAAAGTTACCAAAGGAAGAGGAACTGTGGCCAAAGGTGGAAGAGGTCCGAAGTGCTGCTTCAATTCGGAAACGTGGAACGCATCATGGAGTTTTGTTGAAGCGGGAAGCTTTAGACGAAAAGCAACTTCGTTGATCTTCTCGACCACCAAGAATGGACCAAAGAACCTGGGATGAAACTTGGAGCGAGCAGCAGCTCTCCTTCCTAAGGTGTATCTCTGAGGACGGAAACGAACATAGATGTAGTCCCCAACCTCAAAAGTTCGTGAAGACCTGTGATGATCAGCGAAACGTTTCATACTATCTCGAGTTGCAATCAGTCACTCGTGGACCAGCTGATGGAGATCTGTCAACACAGACAAGTGCTCGGAAACAATTGGTTCCGTACATGCTGGTACAGGAAAAGGGAGCTTATCCACCTGCCTGCCATATAGAACTGAGAAAGGAGAGGGTGCTGTGAAAAGCCATGTTGTCAGCAAAAGGGAGCCACATGTACCAGGATAGTGGAAAATTTGAAGTGTAGCCACGGAGATATGCCTCCAAAGTTTGATTGGTTGGATGGTACACCAAACTAAAGCTCCCAATGTGTTGAAACAGTTGCTGCCAGAGAAACTTGGGATCTCGGTCTGAAATAATTTCGTGTGGAAGGCCATGAAAACAAATGACGTCGGAAAAGAACTGCTCAGCGACCTCCTTGGCTGTAGCAGTGGATTTCATTGGTACAAACTGGGCGACCTTGGTGAAATGGTCCATGATCACAAATATGGCATCGAAATCTCAGACAGAATGAAGACTGACAATAAAATCCATGTTGATACTGTTGAACGGACCAGCTGCCACAGGCAAAGCATGTAACAGTCTGGGATATGGAACCATCTCATGCTTAGTTTGTTGACAAACAAAACATTCACGTACCCATTGCTTGACCTCCTTCTGCATTCCTTTCTAGCAGCTAGAGTTGACATTCCTCCTGGATGTCTGGCCACCAAGCTAGAGTGGCACTCACAAAAACCTGTTTGCAAAGGTCATGCCTATTGCATAAGACAATACACCCTTTTTGCCACCTCGTCAAGGACATACTTGGAATAACGTTGCCTGGTGGACAATGTCCGCATAGAATCCAAAAGAGTTGGGTCATCTTCATACTCATCACAAATGGTCTAGATGAAGTCAGATTGAAGACAGGAAATTCCATACATAGCAAAACCTTTTGGCTTTACAAACATGTGTGAAAGAGCATTAGGAATTGTATTGGAATACCTAGTTTATATTCAATCATGAAGTCAAGCTGACTAAGAGAATATTGATGAATGAATGATGTTCGTAAGGGGGGTGCATAAACTTACAGAAGTAATTAGCAAAGCCAAGAAAACCTAAGTTACAAATTTTTCCTTTTCACTTTGCTAACTTACTTTGTTTATTCAACCACCACTACCTTGGCTTTAGTTAAGTTCCCTCATTAAAGTTCTTGCCTATTGTACCAACTCTTACTTAGTTTCAACTACTCATTGCATGAGCAATAGAGTGTTAGCCATCCATCCACAAATTCTCTCTACATTAGATTAAACTTAAGATTAAATTACACTTCTCGCAAGCATAAGCAACTAAGCACACCAAGCCTCTAAGTTTCTAACATTTTTTAGTATGATAAAATTTAATTATGAGACCTTATAAATCCCAAGCCTTAAATGCATCACTTATTTTGGGACTCTAAAGGGAAACACCATAGCTTAATAACCCAATATAAATACACTTCTATCCCAAGAGGAAAGCCCAAGCCCTTAGGAAAGAGTAAGGACCAATAAGCCACAAAGTATTTACAAGAGCTAGAAGCACTACAATCAATTTCCCTTCTAAGAGTGGAAGTTGCTTTTGAGCATTTCTTTGGGTAGTCCCTTTGGCACCACCTGAATACATGCTCACTCCTACCAAAGCCCCTAAGCCTTAGTCTCAACCTCAAGTTGGTTTGAAAGCACCATTGAAGAGTTCCTTCAAAATTAATTCCTAGATCTCACTATACTTTTAGAACCCCCTACAACGCCCAAATAAGTGATCTCTATCATCCTGAAATCACACTTAGAAAGTTTAGCTACCATGCTATAGGCTTCAAGCACAACTAGGATATGACTCAATTGTGTAAGATGTTCACCCCACAAACTGCTGTAGATTAAAATATTGTCAACAAACACCACCATAAACTTCAATAAGAATGCTCCCAAAACTTTGTTCATGACAACATAAAATGTAACAGGGGCATTAGTAAGTCAAAATGGCATAACACAAAATTGGAAAAGTCCTCTATAAGTGTGGAATGCTGTTTTGTGTTGATCCTCATAGACTACTCCAATTTGATAATAACCAGAATGGAGATTGATCTTGCTGAATATGTGCACTTGGCCTAGCTCATCCATGAGGTTGTCAATGCAAGGAATTGGAAAGCTGTTTTTGATGGTCACCTTGTTAAGAGCACAGTAATCCAGACATAGTCTCCATGAATTATCTTTGTTTAGCACCAACAACATAGGTGATGCAAAAGCACTAATGCTCTCTGTGATCAGTCCTTGCTGTAAAAGGTCCTCCACCATCTTATGAACAATTTCTAGCTCCTCCCTTGTCATCCTAATGATCAGTTGAATGATAGATGTTACCCCCAATTCTAAGTCGATACAATGTTGTACTCTTGTGCAAACACTCACCAATTCTGACACTGAGTGTTGGAAAACTGGAAGATGATACAAGCACTGTTGGTCCCGACTATGTTCAGCCGAGATTCCAACTGCTGCTGAATGTGATTGGACAGCTCCGTTTGGTGATTTAATGGTAGTTGCAGGGGCTAGATTTCCAATGCCACTATAGCAATCGCCATCGCCACTACATCTCTACTGCTTTGCTAGTTCTCCTGCTGCTATGGAGCAATCCATCTGTGAATGCCTAGCAAGGCTACATTGAATCCAACCAACTCCACTTCCTACCAGACGCATGCAGCGAGCTGAGCTCTCTAGGGCAACACTCTCTAGTCAATGGGCCTCCACTTTTGATTGAGCATGGAGCAGCTTGCCGA